TGGATGTGGCACCTGGGGACATGGGTCAGTGGTGCCCTTGGCTGTGCTGGGGTGGAGTGTGGACTTGATGAGCTTAAAGCTCTTTTCCAACCTGGTTGATTCCATGCCTGCTGCAGGCCCTCCTCTCAGTGTTCCTTTAACCTGTCTTTTTCAGTATCCAGCCCTCAGACAATCGTGGAGCTGTTCTTCCAGGAGGTGGCCAGGAAGCACATCATATCTCGACTCTTCTTGCAACCAAACACCAACTTGGCTGAAACAAGCTTGAACTGGCCCCATCTCATCACCGCGATAGTGGCTGACTTCCTGCCGCTCCTGTATCCTTGCCTGTGCTCACTGTAACCAGGAGGAGGTTCCATAAGGCATGGAAATCCTGGAGTCCTTTTGTGGAGGCTCCATATTGTCCCATTCCTGAGGCTGGGACCATCGGTGGGTCTGTGGGAGGAGGGTTGGGACTAGCAGAGGGGTTAGGGTGTTGGGCTGTGGAGCACTCAGGGGCTAAGATGGCCACCTCTGCCATCTGCAGCTCCAAAATCAGTGTTTTCCACACCCAAATTTCCAAGACAAGCCTCCCAGACAAGTGACTGTTGTTGGTGTTAATGGGATTTGTGAGATTTGAAGATTTCACCCCATTTGGGTGCACAATAAAGGATTTGAGCTTTTGCCTTTAAGCCCCTGAGCTCTAGGAACTTGCTTTGGCGAGGGGAGATGCTGGGAGACTTGGAAGGGGAACAAGAGTTGGGCAGTTGGGGATTAGATGTGTTAATGGTGTTTTTAATATGGATAAGTCTTATTACAGAATAATGACTTGTATAAAGAGTGGTTTAATCTTCTCTCCTTTCACCCCACAAAGTGAGCACGGATGTCAAGCTGACTTCCAGCCTAGTTCTCCGAGCTCTCCAGCCTGGCTTGTCCTCTGTTCCTTAACCTCTGCTCAGGTGGCCCAGCAATCCCAGCTTCCTGTTCCCAGAGTGCCTGATGGGGAACTGTCAGTACACCCAGCTCCAGGTGAGGGCTTCCTGCTGGCTCTGGGAGCTGAAAGGGGAAGAACAGTGAGTGCAGTTGTGGGTGCCCTTTGGTAGCAGCTCTACACTTTGTGTCACACCTGTATCATCCACAATGAGCTCTGCCCAGCTACTTACCTCTCCTTAGGAGAAGCTACCCAAACCATCACCTTTCCAGCCGCTGGAGTCCGATCTGTGCTCTCCTTGCTGCTGCTTTCTCAGCCGGGACATGAACTAATCTTCCCAAGTGCTCCCCTCCCAGATCTCCCTTTGGAGGTGATGGGCTGGAAGTTTGTCCTGCAGCTGAAACATGGATGATTCTTTTGGAGAATTGAATCATAGAACCACAGAATTTTTTGGGCTGGAAGGGACCTTAAAGCTCCTCCAGCTCCAACCCCTGCCACAGGCAGGGACACCTTCCACTAGAACAGGTTGCTCCAAGCCCCTGTGTCCAACCTGGCCTTGAACACTGCCAGGGATGGGGCATTATTATAACTCTCTCTTGTAACTATCACGGTGTTAGAGCAATGAGCAAACTGCAGGTAGCAAATCTCCTCCATCTTCCTCATGCATCTTGTCTTGTTCCCTGCAGTGTCCACCTCTGCTCACAGAAGAGTTTCTGCTCAATATCTCGAATCTAGATAACATCACAGAGAGTTTGCTGGGGAATGACTTTAAATGCTTATCTGATGCTTTTCCTTTCTATGATTTCAAGACAAACCGAGACAGAAGTGCTCAGGGTTACTCTACCCTTCCCATGGAGGAGTTCAGCCTCTCAGGGCTCCTCTGACTATGTGCAAGGAACATCTTGCTGGAGCTTGTTTAACTGTCACAGCAAGCCCATAATCCAGCAGCTCCTTGGCTGCTCATGTACCCACATCCTTTCCTGTGCTGCCCTTCCAAATGGATTGCCCACGGGGCTGGGGGTTCACAAGGCTCTGTCTTCAACCCAAGTGCTGTTCCTGGAGGGCTCAGCTGTGTCTTACATGTCCTTAGTAGTGAAAACACAGCTTAAGAAACATCCATCATCTTTGCAACCCTCTTGGGAGCCGGAGGAGTGAACTACTTTTCCTCAGGTGCCTCTGTAGGCTGCTGTATTTCAGGCCACTGTTCCTCCACCATCTCCTCCTGTGCTCCTCAGGGGCTGGGTGCTTGTAGCTACTCGTGCTCTAGTTCTGAACCTCACGATCCTGTGCCTGCAGCTCCATGTGACACGCTGCTGAGGCCAGTCCTTGCGGCATGCAGGGCTATGCAGGCTGCTATTAATGAGATGGCTTTTCCTGTGCTTTACAGAACCTTTTCTTCTCTCAGCCCCTTTCCACCTGGGGGCTGAATTACTTTCTTTTGTGCTCATATTGCCACCGAGAAGAATGTCAAATGTGCTTTTGAGGCAGGAAATGCCAGCATGGTTTGGGCAGCTTCGTTCTCCCTCCTTCGAATTGCCTTGCATTGCTTTCGCCTCACTTGTGTCCCGCCTCGAGGAGACACAAGAGGCTTTTATCTCTGCAGGAGCAAGCTCTTCCTCCTCCCCACTACCTTCTGTTACACTTACTGATCCCACTCACTCACATCAACATGGATTAAGTGCCTTGACCTCAGGGAGCTAACACCGGCTTTGCTGGGAGCGCAAGCACGGTGACCCAAATAGAGGTGGCAATGCAGGAAGCACCCTGCCCAGAGAAGGTCTAGTAACCAAAGCACTGCCCTGGGATGAGAGCCAAACCTCTCCTTGGGGCTGATTCTGTATGACAAGCTGTTGAGCAAGCTCGAGGTGGGATTTATCTGCTGGAGCTGGCTAATCTGGGTGCTCAATCCGGGTTTGGACGGTGTGTTGCCACGTGGCTTGTAGCGGGCCAGTGGCTGGGGTAGTGAGATATGTGCTGGTGGCTTATTGCACATGTAGAGGTGCAGGTTGTCCTGTGAGGTCTTGGCTTTACTGCTGGGTTCTGGCCTCTCCTCCTTTCCTCTAAGCCCCTGCTAGTGGGACATTGCTGCTGCTTCACATACGAAGAGCATCCACTGCTCTCCCAGTGAGGGATGCTTTGGAGTTGTCATCGTGCCTCCTCGCTGCTTAGTGACAAGTGATGACACTTTGCAGCCCTTATATTATCCTGGCAGAGCAGGCACAGGGCCAGCTTGTGTCAGCTCACCCTGGCCAGTGGCTGTGTTGTGGCTTTATTTGTGGTGCCCTCAATGCTCCACCCCATTGCCTGTCTGTGCTGCTGTAATCCATGGCTGCTCTCCCTCTCCTGCCCTGCTGCACAGATTCTGCTCCTCTCACGCCTGCTTTGCCTGTTCTCCTGATGTCTTCACACACGTACACCCTGGTTCATGCTCTGTGTTTCTCTGCAGCAGGTTTGCAGTGGTTGCAGAGCATCATGTCTGAATTTTGGGGGCAGAGGGGGCTGTTTCTGAGTCTCTTCCTATGGATGCTGGAGCTGTTTGAAGTAGGTTGTTTCTCAGGAGCGTGGGGGGGTGTCTCCATACACCAAAAGGACTTTGAGAGTGGGGAAACCAGTCCTTGAGCTAGAAGACTGGGAATTTTGTGAGCACAGCAGCTAAAGGAGCCACCAAAATAGCACTTTGATGTTACAGAGCTAACCCTTCCTCTGGTGCTGGGTGCCTGCGGGTCACAAGTGAGTGCTTACCTGAATTGCAGAACCATAGAATGGTTTGTGCTAGAAGGGAGCTTAAAGCTCCTCCAGCTCCAACCCCTGCCATGGGTAGGGACAGCTTCCACTAGAGCAGGTTGCTCCAAGCCCCTGTGTCCAACCTGTCTCCCGTTCCTCCTCTCCCATAGGAATACATTCGCCTGCTGCAGCCGTGGTGCCACGTGAACATGGGCTCCTGCTGCTTCATGATGGGCAGGTGCTACCTGGTCATGGGTGAGGGCCACAAGGTGAGGATCTTGTCTCCTTCCATCCAGCTCTGCCTCCCTCTGGGATCTGGGACCTTTTCCTTTGGGAGGCAGTTGGTGCACAGGTAGGACCAGCCTTGTTTCTGCTGTACCATCATCCTGAGCTCTGCTGCCTTCAGGCAAAGGATGGGGTTGTAAGGTGGTGGTGGTGGGACCTGCTCTTGGGGAAGTTCTTGTTAGCGTGGGGCCAGCAGGTCTCATGCACTGGAGCTGGAGCAGGCAGCAGTGTCCTCTCACCAGTACAACAGGCTGGGTCAGCCCCCAGGGGACACACACAAGCTGCTTTCTGGTCTGCTTCTAGGCTTTGGACTGCTTCTGCCAGGCTGCATCAGAGGTGGGGAGAGAAGAGTTCCTGGACAGGCTAATCCAGCCTGAGGAGGGGGAGGTGGTCTCCACTCCACGCCTGCAGTACTACAACAAGGTAGGGCTGAGCCAACACTATGTACATCATCCTGACCAAGTAAATTGGCACCGAGTCCTTCCACACACACACTGCTCGGAGAGAGAATTCCTGCTCAATCCCTGGCTTTCAGGGGAGTGACTTGAGACTTAAGCCCCCTATTTTTTGGTTGGTGAAACCTCTATTTGCTTTCTCTGGGGGAGAATGAGGAGGTGACTGCAGTGAAAACTAGGTACTTTCCACCTATTAGCTTCCTAATAGCAGAGGACTTTGTTATCCAGCAGGAAAAGGCAGGGTGAGATCCAGCTGCTGGAGGCAGAAGCCAGACATGTCCAGGCTCGATGGGAGATGCTGCTTAAGGGGAAGGTTATTAAGCTTTGAGGCAGCTGCAAATGAATGTCTGTGAGTTGAGATAAGATCTTGCATAATGCCAGAGAGCAGCCAGGCTGCAGGCTGGGACCCAGCTCCTTGAGAGGGATTCCCTGCTTTTAAAGTCCAGGAAGGATTGTCAGGTGTCCTTGGAGAGGGAACTTCTTTAATGCAGCTGCATGTGTGCTTGGGAGCTCTGTCACTGGGGTTTACTGTCACCATCAGTGCTACAGTCAGAGTGGGTTGGGTTGGAAGGGACCTTAAAGGAAAACTCAAATGGGTAGAGGTGAATCCTTCAGGAAAGCCATAGCCTGGACCTGTTGTGCTGGGATTTGATTCAGATCTCTGCGTTAACCAAACCCTTTCCTGTTCCAGTCTGATCACTTAAACACTGCCAAAACCTTGCTCTCATGGTTAGTAGGGACAGGAGTAGCTCTTTTAACGGCCAAAGAAACCTTCTTGCCAACATAACCCAGGGTGCTGTTGTCTTCTGCAGGTCCTGTGCTTGCTGGACATGGTGGGTTTACCAGAGCTGGTCATCCAGCTGGCCACCCTGGCCATCATGGAATCAGCAGATGACTGGAGAAGCCAGGTACAGGGCACTGCTTTTGCATCAATTTGGCTCTTCAGGGAGCTCCCACAGGAATTTCTCTTCAGTTTTATCACTCAAAACATGTTGCTTTATGTTCTTTTGGTGTTTTCAGGCTACTTTGAGGACTTGCATCTTCAAACATCACTTGGATTTGGGTCACAACAGTGAAGCATATGTAGCCTTAACGCAGAACCCAGATCCAAGCAGGTAGGTGACAGCTTTGTACCTTCATGCTCACTTGTCTCAGAGGTCCATGTACCAATTTTCCCCATCAGACTGAAAGGGAGATGACACTTCAGGGCATGATGTGGCTGCTGGGTTAAGAGGTTCTGTTTAGTGTGTGAGAAGGCATGCTCAGAAGGTTTTTAAGGATATCTGGGATGGGCGCTATCCCAAAGGAAGAAACTGAGAGGGAAAAGAAAGGTGATTCAGGGAAGAGCCAAAAGAATGGCTAAAGGGTTACATGTTGAAAAGCTTTAGGAGTCCAGTCAGTTTAGTTGAGTAAAGAAAAGAGTTGGACTTTCAGCAGTGAAGAGGGTAGAGGAAGCTTCACCCTAACAGGAGGATGTGCTGAGCTTTTTTGGAATAGGCATTCAGAGGAGAGATAGGAATGCTTTTTAATTGAGGCTGGAGAATAAATCTTACCCAAATAGAGCTGAGGGAGGGAGGGAGCCCTCTAGAGAGACCTTTGCAGAGGATCCAGGATCTCTGTTTCCAGCACAGGAGAAGTCTGAAGGGATTTGTTGGTTCCGAGCCAGACAAAAACCCTGTGGAGCTTGTCAGCCAGCAGCATGTTCATGGCTCCAAGCCTGCAGATGGGATTGCTGCTGTGCCGTTCTCTCTGCAGGCAGCTGGACTGTCTACGCCAGCTAGTGGTGGTTCTGTGTGAGCGCTCCCAGCTCCAGGACCTGGTGGAATTCCCCTACGTGAACCTCCACAACGAGGTAACTGGCCTGTGCTGGGAGGAATGGGGACAGAAGCTCTCCTTTTAAAGGGGGGTTTAACCCACTTGAGCCCCTTGGGTGCTGCAGGTCGTGGGGATCATCGAATCTCACGCTCGAGCAGTCGACCTGATGACCCACAACTACTATGAGCTGCTTTATGCTTTCCACATCTACCGCCACAACTACCGCAAGGGTGAGCTCGGGATGGGCACTTGGAACTGCTTCTCCTGCCTCTGGGGTTGCCTGGCTCCAGGCTGATGCATTCCCCTTCCCTCCTCAGCCGGAACAGTGATGTTTGAGTACGGGATGCGCCTGGGCAGGGAGGTGCGGACGCTCCGGGGGCTCCAGAAACAGGGAAATTGTTTCCTTGCTGCTGTGAACTGCCTGCGGTTGATCCGCCCGGAATACGCCTGGATAGTGCAGCCAGCGCCTGGAGCTGTGGTAGGAAACCCTGAGCTTGCTGTGGCCTCTGGCAGGGGGAAGGACTGGATGAGCTTTAAGGTCCCTTCCAACCCATTCCTTGATTCTATGTGAATCCTCTGACCTGAGCTATTGACTGGGGGACACTTGGAGCTCTACTTTTGGGAAGGAGCTTCCAGAATCCTTTCTGATGTGCGCGGAGGCACCGACCACCTTAATCTGCTGCTCTCCCCTTCTTGGCCAGTGTGTGCAGCGCTGCCTTGTGCCACTCAAGGCAGACATCAGTCCCCTATGTCACCCTTGTGTCGTTGTGTAGAAGCAGGACAGTGTTTGGGAAGGGACTGGTGTATATATAGGGTATATATAGATTTGGGTTGACGGGACCTTAAAGCTCCTCCAGCTCCAACCCCGGCCCCGGGCAGGGACACCTTCCACTAGAGCAGGTTGCTCCAAGCCCCTGTGTCCAACCTGGCCTTGAACACTGCCAGGGATGGGGCAGCCACAGCTTCTCTGGGCACCCTGTGCCAGCGCCTCAGCACCCTCCCAGGGAAGAGCTTCTGCCTCAGATCTAGTCTATCAAGGGGAACCAGGTGGGCATAAACCCTCTTTTCTGCTTTCTCCTGCAAGTACGAGCGCCCTGGAGCATCCCCAAAGAGAAGCCACGATGGGGAGTGCACGGCTGTGCCAAGTAAGTGTCCAGTCCTGGTGCTTCCTGTGTCTCTTGTGTGTCCACAGCCTCTCCCCAGCCTCAGAGCTCTGCTGCTCCCCTGTGGGCAGGGACATGGCTCAGGGCAGCTCAGGTCAATAGTGTGGGGTTTTAAGGGAGGTAGTTCTGGTATTGGTGTCTCCCAGTTGCATTATGCTGCCATGTAACAGCTATTCATAGAATCCCAAACTGGTTTGGATTGAAGGGACCTTAAAGCTCCTCCAGCTCCAACCCCTGCCCCGGGCAGGGACACCTTCCACTAGAGCAGGTTGCTCCAAGCCCCTGTGTCCAACCTGGCCTTGAACACTGCCAGGGATGGAGCAGCCACAGCTTCTCTGGGCACCCTGTGCCAGCGCCTCTGCACCCTCACAGGGAAGAGCTTCTGCCTCAGAGCTCATCTCAGTCTCCCCTCTGGCAGGTTCAAGCCATTCCCCTTGTCCTGTCCCTCCATCCCTTGTCCAAAGCCCCTCTCCAGGTTTCCTGGAGCCCCTTTAGGCCCTGGAGCTGCTCTAAGGTGTCCCCTTCAGGAGCCTTCTCTTCTCCAGGCTGAGCACTCCTCTGCAGCTTTATCTCCTGTCATCCATCCCTTTTACTTTCAGTGGTAATAACCTGTAATTAAACACAATAAAAAAGCAATTTCTGGTTGTTCAAGCCTTTGTTCCTTGGCAACCCTGGTGTTGTAGCGAGTCCCTGCTGTAAGGTCTCTGCTCTTTGTCTACCCCAGCTCAGGATGGTGGTGTCAGGTTAGTTTTGCAATCCTCAGTGTTAGAGCAGGAGAATTTCAGGTCAGGTATTTTTAAACCAATTATTTCTGACTGAGCTGGTTTGTAGCATATCCTGGCAGCCAGAGCAGGGGCTGTTTCCAACCACCAGCTCACATCTGGAGCAGAGCAGGATTTATACCAAGGAGACAGACCCAGCTCAAGGCAGCAAAACCTGACCCTTCCTTCAGTGCTTTCCCTGCTGTGACTGCTCTCAGGGTGGCAGAAGGCTGCAGATATTTAGCCCAAAGAGCCCTGTTTTCAAAGCTGAGAGCTTCCATGTGTTCCAGCAAGTCACCAAATCGAGATCCTGGAGCTGGAGGACCTGGAGAGGGAATGTGTCCTGTCCCGGATCCGGCTGACGCTGGTGCAGCACGACCTGTCGACAGCCGCTGTGGCAGGTAAGAGGGACTCTGCAGCCACCTCTGCTCCCCCTGAGGTGGTTACAGCACTTCCAGTCCCAGCTCCATGTGCTTCTGACCCAGAGACAAAGCCAGGAGCTGGCAGGGACCCTCCAGTTCCCCTCCCCGCTATGAGACCTTGCCTCTGAGTTCAGCAGCTTTGGAGAGGAAGAGCAGGAGAAGCATCTTTAGCTCTTCCCCCATCTTTTGGCTTCAGGCTGCAGTGTGGGGCTGAGCTCCTGAGTTGTGATTAAAAGGCTTGGAAATGTTGCTGGAAATTGCCTCCAGATGAAGCAGAATTGGAAAGCCTTAAAAACACCCACTTGGTGCAAGACTTTTAAGTTAGTGGCCTGGACAATCCTGCTTCACAACAGTGTTAGCTTGTCAAATGGTTCTTTTTTGGGGAGTAGAAAGCTGCAACTCTCCCACCCTGACCCTCTGAGTGTGTTCTACCACTCTCTGGTAGAAGTTACATAACATGTACATGGGTTTTCCCTTTAAGTATCAGGAGGAGATGATTTCCCAGTAATGGAGACGTGAGGAGCTGAGTTTGATCTCACCTCCTGCCACTGCCCCATCTGCCTGTGCTGGCAGAGCTGAGCTGATGAGTTCACTTGGACACAGGCTGCAGTGCCCGTGTCCTCCTCCAGCCTGTGCCTGACCAGGGCTGGCTCCGTGGGTCACTTCTGCTTCATGCAGCCCCTCCAGGGGTGGCTCCTGAGATGCTCCTGAGGCCAAGAGAGCCTCAAGCTGTGCCATGAGGAGCACCCCTGGGGGTGTTTTCCACGGGGACATCACCGTGGTGCTGTTGTAACTGCTGCTGAATGGTGCAGGGTTGGGCCCCAGTAAGCACTGGGGTGTGCTGGGAGAGGCATTTACCTGGTCCTCCTCCTTGCTGCCCTGGTTCTCCCCGTTGTTCCTCATCCTCCTTTCCCCACAGGCAACTCCACACCTGAGGAAACGGTTGCTCTCCTGGTCCGGGCCGGGCTCTTCGACACAGCCATCACCCTGTGCCAAACCTTCAAGCTGCCCTTGACACCCATCTTTGAGGGACTCACCTTCAAGTACGTAGCAAACTTCTCCTGCCCACCTCAGGTGACACACACGTGCTCCACGATGCTTGTGGGGTGCAGTTTGCAGCTCCCCAGTGCCAGAAGCTGATGCTGTCCCCACCATCTTCTTGCCATGGCTGCTAATGACTATGTGGCAGCCGCGAATGTAATGACTATGTGGCACCAGCCAATGTAGTGCTTTTGGGTGGAACTTGCTCCTTCACACCTCAAAAGTTAAATTAAGGAGTTTTGCTGAGCAGATGGGGATGGGGGGGAGGTGTCCCCTTGGTCTCAGGGGTGAGACTTGGCATCTGGTGGTCACAGATGATCCCAGCCCAGGTACAACCAGCATCTGGAGACCTTCCTGTTGCGCTGGCTCAAGGCATCTCCTGCTTGATGCTGCTGCTCACAGGAGATGGGTCCAAGCTGCTGGGCAGCTCTCAAAGGGCAGTTGTCAGGTCCCCATCTCCAACCCCAGGATTCCTCCTCTGCCTCTGCAGTGAGCTCTGCTGTGACCTGGTCCTGTGGCTGGCCACATGGAGGACATCTACCCAAGCCCTAAAGCTTGCTGACATCTTCAGTTCCTCGCTGGCACTTAGAGCAGCTCAGAAATCACTCTAATACCCACCTTTTCCTGCCAAGCCTTTTTGTGCCAACCTAATTCATGGCTGTTGCTGGGGAATAGTCCTGCCAGGGGCTGGTTCTGCCACTGGCAGCCGTGGTGAGGTTGGGGGGCTCTGGAGGCAACCCCCCCCTTTGCATTGCTCTACCTGCAGGTGCATCAAGCTGCAGCTGGGAGGGGAAGCAGCACAGGCAGAGGCCTGGGAGTGGTTAGCAGCAAACCAGCTCTCTGCCCTGGTTACCACCAAAGAGTCCAGGTAGGTCCTTGACTGCTGAGGGGGGAGAAGAGCTCCCGAAGCTGCTCTCTGTGATCCAGAGGGTCAGAGGTTCATAAACCCCCTCACAGCAGAGCTGGGGGCTGGGACGTGGGGAGATCCATGCTTCTGTGCTGTCACCACGCTCCCCTCATGGGCCTTGGGCAGCAGGCCAGGGCACAGTGGCCTCACTGGCAGGGACAGGAGCTGCTGGCACAGGTTCCAAGGGGAGATACTGCCCTTGCAGTGCCACAGATGAAGCCTGGCGCCTGCTCTCATCCTATCTGGAGCGTTACCCATCCCAGAACAGCCTGTACCATCGCTGTGTCATCAACAAGCTCTTGGCACATGGGATCCCTCTGCCCAACTGGCTCATCAACAGCTACAAGGTAAGAACAGGGATGGGGGTCACCGCTCAGCGTGTCCTGTCTGCTGGCCAAACACCCCAGCTCTCATCACCTTCCCTTCCAGGGCTCCTCCTCACTGGAACTTCACCCTCATTCCCAGCTCCAGGAAGCTGTGCCAGATGCTTTGTGCCTGTTCCCGAGGCTTGGAGCAGGTTCCTCCAGCATCGTGGTGGCTCCTGGGTGCATTCCCTGGTTGACCTTTCCCTCTTTGCTCACAGGAGGTGGATGCTGCCCAGCTGCTACGTCTCTACCTGAATTATGACCTGCTGGAGGAGGCGGTGGATTTGGTCCTGGAGTATGTAGATGCTGTGCTGGGAAAAGGGCACCGGTACTTTGGGATCGAGGTGAGGCATTGGGATGCGGTGGAGTGTTCCCTGGGGCAGGGCCTGCTGGGGTTTGGGTGTTGCATCATATTGGCCCCAGAGCTGCTGCGAGGGCTGGAGCAGCTCTGCTCTGGAGCCAGGCTGAGAGAGCTGGGCTGGGGCAGCTGGAGAAGAGAAGGCTCCTCAAGGGGACACCTTAGAGCAGCTCCAGGGCCTAAAGGGGCTCCAGGAAACCTGGAGAGGGGCTTTGGACAAGGGATGGAGGGACAGGCCAAGGGGAATGGCTTGAACCTGCCAGAGAGGAGACTGAGATGAGCTCTGAGGCAGAAGCTCTTCCCTGGGAGGGTGCTGAGGCGCTGGCACAGGGTGCCCAGAGAAGCTGTGGCTGCCCCATCCCTGGCAGTGTTCAAGGCCAGGTTGGACACAGGGGCTTGGAGCAACCTGCTCTAGTGGAAGGTGTCCCTGCCCGGGGCAGGGGTTGGAGCTGGAGGAGCTTTAAGGTCCCTTCCAACCCAAACCATCCCATGATCCCACACCTCTATTGTGCCCATTGCTGGATGGTGCTTCCAGGACAAATGGGTGTGGAAAACCCACCTTAGGTGCACGGGGCCCTCTTGGTGAGACACGGGGCTGCCAGGACATGGTGTTTAGGAGCATTTCCTCGCTGTGGCCGTGGTGAGGAGCATTTCTGCTGCCATCACACCACATCACACATCACATCTCCCCTCCAGTTCCCGCTGTCCGCCACGGCCCCCATGGTGTGGCTGGCCTACCCCGCCACCGCCCCACACCCCCAGGC